GCAACAGCTTCTGCAGCGCGGCCGCCGACGGCTCCTCGGGCGAGCTGGTGGGCGTGTACACGGGCCAGGTGAGCAACGTCCTGAGCGTGCAGTTCATGGCCTGCAACCTCCTCCTGGTGACGGGGATCACGCAGGAACATCAGGAACATTGATTTGGATTTTTTGATTTTTTTTTAACACCCTCGTGGTGACGGACCAGACGGCAGCCGTGGAGCGAGGGCTCCGGGCTGCATCTGACGATCGAATCACTGACTGACTGTGAAAGACTCCCCGCCTCTCCCCGTGTCCCGCGCGGGAATCCTGGGCGCGGGCACCGCCCTCGCCCCGGCTCTGAGACTGTGCTGCTTCCACACAAAGCTGAGAGGAGGGGCCGGTTCCCAGGGGCTTCCGATGGAGGGTCTGGGGCCGTCAGCCCTCGGCAAAAGGTTGAGAATCACCACACCACAAGCACAGAGCGTCCCTGTAGACCAGTGATGGTGACCCTATGACACACAAACTCATTTTTGGTTGATTTTCCTTTGTTAAATGGCATTTAAATAGATAAAATAAATATCAAAAATAGAAGTCTTTGTTTTGCTATGGTTGCAAAGATCAAAAAATTTCTATCTGTGACACAGCACCAGAGTGAAGTTAGGGTTTTTCAAAACGCTGACACGCCGAGCTCCAAAGGTTCGCCATCACTGGGCTAGGCCCTCGCAGCCCTGGCTTTGTCCGGAAGGTCGTCCGGACGGTCGTTCCGCTGTTCGGCCATCCGGTTCCAATTAGCATATTACGCTTTTATTATCATATATGTTTTAAGTCATGAAACTGAGACCAGGTCTGCGCAGGCGTGGGCGCTAGGACGTGTCGGGATTGGTCTCAGTGGGCTAGACACGGAGCCGCGTGGCTCCTAGAGCAGCCAGACCTGACCCGCCCCTGGAGTGAAAGCACCGAGGGCTGAACATACACTCAGAAGTAAATCTTTCCGGACAGTAGCTCTCAGAATCCACAAGGAAAGTCACCATAGGCTGCCCTTTCAGTCGGCTTTGGAAACCCCTTAGCCTCAACCCAAGAGTGAGACCCACAGACATCGCTCCATAAACAGACTCACCTTGCTGTAGCTTTTTTATTTTTTTTTAATATATTTTATTGATTTTTTACAGAGAGGAAGGGAGGGGGATAGAGACTTAGAAACATCGATGAGAGAGAAACATCGGTCCGCTGCCTCCTGCACACCTCCTACTGGAGATGTGCCCGCAACCCAGGTACATGCCCTTGACCGGAATCGAACCTGGGACCCTTCAGTCCGCAGACCGACGCGCTATCCACTGAGCCAAACCGGTTAGGGCTGCTGTAGCTTTTGCTGAGCTAAATCCTTGGCTGCAAAACGCATGGAAGGAAAGAGGGGTGTGAGCTGTTGGGGACTTTTTACTCAGTCACGCGGTTATGGGCCCATCTCCTGGGGTCGCCCTTAAGAGCGAGACCCCTGCCATGTCCCGGGCAGGTGCTATTTCCCAAGCAGCGCCCCCCTCTTTCACCCGACCTTCCCCGATATCGTGTTTCCCACACGGACCACTAAACATCTCTTCTTGTGTCCCCTTTGCGGCCCCGCCCGGCGTGCCCAGGAGGAGGAGGAGGAGGCCGAGATGAAGACGCTGCGGGGCCACTGCGGGCCCGTGTACAGCACGCGCTTCCTCGCCGACAGCTCGGGGCTGCTGTCCTGCTCCGAGGACATGTCCATCCGCTACTGGGACCTGGGCACCTTCACCAACACGGTGCTGTACCAGGGCCACGCCTACCCCGTGTGGGACCTGGACATCAGCCCCTACAGCCTGTACTTCGCCAGCGGGTCCCACGACCGCACCGCGCGGCTGTGGTCCTTCGATCGGACGTACCCGGTGCGGATCTACGCGGGCCACCTGGCGGACGTGGACTGCGTCCGCTTCCACCCCAACTCCAACTACCTGGCCACGGGCTCCACCGACAAGACGGTGCGGCTCTGGAGCGCCCAGCAGGGCAACTCGGTGAGGCTGTTCACGGGCCACCGCGGCCCCGTGCTGTCCCTGGCCTTCTCCCCCAACGGGAAGTACCTGGCGTCGGCGGGCGAGGACCAGCGGCTGAAGCTCTGGGGCCTGGCCTCCGGGAGCCTCTAC